ACTCAGTGCCTGACTTCATCAACTGTACTGTGGCCTGAAGTCCGGATGATCAGAGCGAGCTTTTACTGTGAGTGGAAGGACAAGAAGCACCCATCTGTTGGACAGACCGCAGTGGTCTCCCCTGGGATATGGTCCCACATTGTGGAGAGGCCCATGAGAGGCAGTGCAAAGGTGAGTAGATCTTAATTTAAGAGATGAAGGATTTTAGAAACCAGGTGAACAGAGGTCGAGTGAATAAACTTCTGCAAAAATATCAATGCTACAAGGTGAGTCAGGACAAGGCATGTAAAGAGTGTCAACAAGCTTAATTACCAAAGACCTAAAAAGTACCAAGAGTTGACTCTTTTTGGACATTAAAGCATCATAAAACAATATCAAGTATATGTGTGGGGGTTGATATTTATTTCCTAACTTCCATCCTGTTTGGAATTTTAACTAGCATATGCTATTTTTGTAGTTCTTGTTTAAAGCTTTTATTTACTGCTATGAGGTCTCATAAAATGGCTCTGCACCTCAACGCACCCTCTCCCCCCAAGGAAAAAAGCACTGAAAAAGCATCTGAAAACATCAACAAAAGAGTTTACTGTATGATCCCATGACATTGAGTTCAAGAACAAGTGAAACCATGGTGAGAGAAGTCAGAATAGTGGTGACCTTCAGTGGGGTTGACCAAGGGGCGAGGGTAGAGGCAGATTTCTGGAGTACTGGAAATATTCTCTCCTTGATCTGGGTGGTGGTTACATGGGTATATACATCTGTCAAAATTCATTGAGCTATATGGGCTTGTGATTTTTGCATCTCATACTTCAAAAATATTTTTTTTAATTACTTTAAGTTGCAGGAGAAATCCTTGAGCATGACTGGAATTTACCCTGGAGAAAAAACTGAAAGGCTCTGAGGGAGGATAAGGGGTCCATGGCTGTGTCCCAGGCCCCTTCCTGACAGTGAATGGAGTACGAAAATCCAGGAGCAGGATGACCGAGTAGCTTTGCCACTGTGTGCAGCTCCCATGATCTCCAAGGACTACACTTTCTTCATGTGAAATGAGAGGGTTAGCACTTTCCAGTCCTAACATATTCTGATTGTGGATTTACTCTCCAGATTATAAATCCTCCCTCTGTGCTTTGTAAAAGGGAAAGTTTTATGTCCCAAACTTATTGTGGTCAACATATACATGATAGCATCATAAAATTCGAACATAGAACACAGAGCTACACCAACCAGGACCCCCACGGACCGTTGCCATGTACTAGTCATGGGGCCACTTCCTCTTACCTTTGACCACCTGTCCCGCCTACCTCCTGCCTATCAGCACTGCACTAAACCAACTGGTAGAAAACGTGCTCCTTTTGGTAGAACCAGGGTAGCAGCAAGCCTATCGCAAATTTCTATCTTTCCACACTAAGAATCCCAGAAAACTGCAGACCTGCTCTCTCCAGGGCTCTGGGTACCTAAAGAGGAGGGTCATGTGGTGCCAGGAAAGCTCAGTGACCACTCAGGGACCGAGCCCTGTGTCACACTTCTACTCCCAAAGAGGGCAGGCTAGGACATGGCAAGGGAATGCTGTTGCATGTTTTCACCGATGACTATAAATAGGAATTACTACAAACAGCTCGCCTTTGTCATTTTTATTTGTACATGTTTGCGAGTCTGCACACACGTGCACAGGACCATGTAGCACATGACAGTCACAGAATCCCTAGCTCGCAGTGCTGACAGGGGTGTGCACACCCTTCCCTGGCCTGTGGACTACAAATGAGCAGTCCAGCTCTCATATAACAGTTTTTGTTTTGTTTTGTTTCTTTTTGCCTTAATTGTCTGATTACCTTGGGACTCCAATTTCCTCTAAAGAACAATGAGGGGGATTGGACCAACCAAAACCCCCTCTAGATCTCCTAATACTGTAAGGTCCCTTGAGAGAGCACTGGGTAGGAGTGAGCAGGCAGGGATTCTGTCTGATGGTACAAACAAACAATACCTACAATTATAATTTTAAAAGCTTTCATAACCACTCTTCTTTTCACTCAAAATGACTGTGGAAGTAGGGCAAGGCTCCTAGGGGACAGGGGCCAGTGAGAAGGCAGGCAATGAAATTAGGTCAAGTTGATAGCAATTCCATTAAAGCAAATGTTAATAAATGTAATCATTAAATAATGAGAGTTAGAGTTATTCACAAAGCATCTTGAGGGCATCAAGAAGGACATTGGAAGATAAAAGAGAACCCTCAAAGATTAATGAGAACTTGCCTAAAAGGCTTTGTGATTTCTCTAGGCCTCAGTCTCTTAATGAAGAGTGTGGACTCCATGACACCTGGATCTTTTCTCCCCAGGTAGGTGCCAGGCTCATTTGCAGGAGAAAATGTTTACAGCTGTGTGCTATTCTGTGAGGAAACATTAAATAGTAAAGGGATCTTACCTGGCATTTAATTGCTGCTGAAGCTCCAAAACACTGGATCTGTTTAGCAGCAGATACTGGGCCTCATTCACCAGAGAAAGAGTGGCTGTTGTACCAGCAGATTGACCTAAAGGTGATGGAATATTTAAAATAAGAGTTTCTAGATATGGAAACAACCTAAGTGTTCATTGATGGATGAATGGGTAAAGAAGATGTTGTGTATATATATAATAATATTCCATTGTGTGTGTGTATATGTAGCAATTCCATTATAGCAAATGTTATACACACACATACATACACACAATGGAATATTATTCACCATTAAATAAAAAAGAAGGAAATCTTGACATTTGTGACAACATGGATAGGTCCTTGAGGGCATTATGTTAAGTGAAATAAGTCAGACAGAGAAAGGCAAATACCATATGATCTCACTTATATATGAAACTTAAAAAGCAAAAACAAAAACGATCTCACAGATACAGAGGACAGATTGGTGGTTGCCAGATGCAAGAGGTCGGGGTGGGCAAAATGGGTGAAGAGGTCAAAAGGTACAAACTTCCAGTTATAAAATAAATAAGTGATGGGGATGTAATGTACAACATGGTGACTACAGTTAATAATGTATTGTATATTTGAAAGTTGCTAAAACAGTAAATCTTAAAAGTTCTCATTACAAGAAAAAGAATTTTTTAACTATGTGTAGTGATAGATGTTAACTAGACTATTGTGGTAATTATTTCACAATGTATACAAATATCAAATCATTATGTTATACACCTGAAACTAACATAATGTTATATGTCAATAATATCTCAATAAAAAATTTTAATAAAAGTTAAATTTTTTTAATTAAAAAAATAAAAGAAAAGAAGAGTTGCTTTCTTGCAATGCAAATGAATCATGCTCCACTGACTTGCATTTTTAAATAGTAGAGACTATTTCCACAAGAGGAAGAAATGGTGCCCTGGAAATAAAAATGTTCCAAGCATAGTTCAAATCTCTCAAAAACAGAAAGCTCAAAAATGAGTTCCTGGTATGTTCTGCTAATAATCTGAAGAAAAATAAATAAAACGCTGAAGTGAAACTGTGCCAGCAAAGACTTGTCAGCAACATACAGAAGAGGAGAAATGGGTGGGGTGGAGCCAGGGGCCCTTCCCAAGGCGGCCGGGGAGAAGGGCCTTGATGAGGGCCACAGGCCCGGGATTGTCTTCTGAATCTACACAGGGAAGAGCTGGTTTTTGCCCTTGGGTAAGTGTGAGATATTGACTTTAGAAATAAATAATACAAGTGTTAAAACTACTAAGGTGGGAAAAACGAGTGAAATAAAATATCAAATGTGGTCAGAACTGCTGGCAGCCTGTCACCCAGCTTCCATCTCCCCGGTGTTGGGCACGCCATCTCTGTCTTTAGCCAAGATGTTGATAACAGGGGCTGGCTGGACCAAAGCCTAGCAAGCTGTCTCCAAACTAGGTATGAGGACCCCGAAGTACACGAAAATAGATACTTCTAAGAGAATCGCTTTTCAGACCCTCTACTTCCAAATGTCTTCTTTGCTAAAATGGCTCTGTCAGAGGAGGAGGTTACAATCCCTCCCCACAGAAGGTCCTTCTCCCAGCTCATAGAGGAAAGGCTGCACCTCTCTCTCCTTTGACACATCGCCCCTGGGGGATAAAAATCTCCAGGGTGGAAAACAAAAGCCCCATTCAAAACCCTAGGGTCTGTGCTGAGAAAATAAGTCTCTAAAGCTTGGGTGAATGATCCTCCGCAGGTCAGATGAGTTCCAATTCTTTGCTCTCCACAAAACTGCCACACCTAATTAAGTTGTCAAGCGACAGATGATTCAAGTCATCTGAATGTTAGATCCCTGTGTCTCAGAAGAAAGGTTTGAGTGACAGTGCGTTAGCTGAACTCCTTTCATCTCCAGCTCTTTATTGACTGCAACAAGGTTTTTCAGAAGAGAACCAATGCTTAGCACCAGCTCTTCTGGTCATAGGTGACAATTACTCATGAATAAGGGAATTAATGGTGGGCAGCTTAGCTGTCTCATTAAAAGATTTATTTTCAAGAATGTTTTCTCTTTATGTTTAATAATAATCTTTTGAAATTTATAACATATTTTTGTTGTTTTGATCAACTATGTACTATTAAAAATTATGATAAGAACTCAACCTAGAAGAAATTTCCTAATGCTTAGACTCTTATGATCACAGTAAACTTTAAAAATAGTTATACATTTTAATTTATATATGATTTTAGTTTCAAATTAAATATGATAAGGTGATCAAAGAAAGATTTTCAAGCATAAACTATATAACTAAAATAAAATTTTGTCATGAAAATGGAATGGAAATATAAGTTGAAGAAGAAAAAGGAAAGAAATAAAATTTCTGACCATGAAAAGACTGTTCGTTCATATATTTTTAATGAACATTCAAGGGAATCAAATCACTATGGTATTGAGATTCCACTGGCTAATATTTAAAAGGGTGATGTACAAGCTTTAATTTAAAATGAATATATTTACAATATGCTGGAAATCTCATCCCATGCAACTATTTAAACTAGTTTTGTAAATTTAGATGACAATATAAAAATGTATGAGGAGGTAATATAGCTTTAAAAAAAATTCTTCTAAGGTATAGCAACACAAAAATGCTTGGAGATCTGTGACCTAGACCATCAGAAACTTCTCTTTCATAAATGACTTGAAGTGATCATGTCTCTAATCGTGTCTCTAAGCTTATCCAGGCCCAAGCACCACCAGCTCACCTCTTCGATAAAATGAGCATAAGTTTATTCCCTTTTTCCATCACACAGCAACTCAAATTCTTTAACAGCTCATGACATGAAAAATTAACAAAACTTGGAAAAGCCTAAGTAGATTACATCCTTTGATTCCTCTGTCATACATTTGCAGAGTCATAGGTTCACCCGTGCAGGTCCCAAGACCCTGTTACTGGTCCCCATATAGTCAGAATGCTGTTTGGATTTACAAGCCAGTCTCTCTTGAGAGACCATCAGTAGGCAAGGTTATCTCTACACAAACCAGTAATGTAGCAATGATCTACGCCATCATTTATCTAGAATTTACTGAGCAGCTACTATGTACCAGGTGTTGTTCTAGGCACTGGGGATGCAACACTGAACAAAATAGACAAAAATCCCTCATAAAGCTTATGATCCAGTAGAGGAAATGCAGGACATACACACAATAACTGAGAAAACGCCTGATCTATAGGATGTGAAAAGTGCCACAGAGAAAAATAAAACAGGGAAGGGAGCTGAGGGAGTTCCAGCAAGAGCTCTGGTTTGAAGGACAGCTGTCAGACGAGGCTTCCCCGAGAAGACAACATTTGAGCAGAAACCTGAAAACAATCTCTCCTTCCCCTAAGGCACTGTTAACTTACAAAGCACATTCTTCTCTGCTGTCTCACTTCATCCTAAAAATAGCTTATGGCAGGAAGATTGTCACGAAACGTTTTAAAGTCCAAGAAGTCGAGTTCTACATGAGTTGAGGAACCATGAGGCCCAAGAATCTGCCAAGGTCTCGCAACCATTTGGAGACAGAACCAAGACTTTTCTCAAGACATAGCAAGCTACCAATGATTTTATTTATCGATACGAAATTGTGCTTCTAAACATGCATGGCTGAGGCAGAGCACTTGAGCAGAGGCCAAGTGGCTGCCTAGAATCCCACCTCGGCCTCTCAGGGTTCTCCTAGAGACCACACGCACGCAGGTCCTGCTGACCTGGGGCCACCGCAGCACCTTTCTGCCGAAGGCTGATCACTCCACATGAGCAAACAGATTGTCCTGTAACTGTTTCACAGGCTGATTTTGATGTATGCAAGGATGAGCCCGAGTTCCTGTCCCCTAAGACCCAATCCGAAATGTGATACCTTTGCCGTGTTTCTTCGCATTTCTTTGAAAGTTTGAACTTTGTTTGATCAAATGACATGGACGGCCCAGGAACTCTGACAACCAGCTTGAAATTTTTTCTCCACAATCAGAAGTATTTACCCTGACCCAAAAAAAAAAGAGAGAGAGAGAGAGAGAGAGAGAATAGTCCATGTTACATAGTATTTCTTTAAGTAATAACCTAATGGCATAACATCACATCACATCACATCACACCACACCACACCACACCACACCACACCACACCACACCACACCACACCACACCACACCACATCACATCACATCATGTCACACCACATCACACCACATCACACCACATCACATCACACCACATCACACCACATCACACCACATCACATCATTGAGCCCCCAGCCAGAAGGAAGCCTAACGTGACAGGCATGCTTAGGAAGCTGCAGGAAGATATCCAAGGCACAGGAAGACCTAAGAACTGGGCCTGTGCAACACTTTCAGATCAGATAAAAAGCTTCAGAAGCTCCTCTTGAAAGATCTTATTTATATGAATTACAGCCACTGAAAACCACAAACCTTGGAATTTGAGACTTTCCAGAGCATTATTTTGCTTTAAGAACGTCTCGAACCCAGGCACATCTTAGTTTTTTACTATGGGCCTGACTACGATATTTTTCCTCACAGCCAGACTACACAGACTGATGTATTTGGTTTGTGAAAAGAACATTATGCCTACAAATTCTCAATATGTGTACATTTATTGATTTGGTTTTTAAAAAACTGAATCTCCTAGAATTTTTAAAAATAATTTTAAATTTTAAAAAATTTAATGTGCACATCGCCAGAATTTATAATGCAGAATTGTTAATATCTTATATCTTAAGATACATATTATTTGAAACCTACCTTATCTTTAATTTTTACCAGAAAAAAATAGTTGCCTTTCTTTGCTGAAAGGGAAGAGAAGAATGAAATCTCACTTTGCAGCACATCCTCTCTGGTGCTTTGAGAAAGTACACCGAATCCTATTTTTATTATCTTATGTACTCATAGTTCCAAGCATAAGAAACCTCTAGTTATCTAAAAAGCTTTATGAACCGGAAAATGGCATCTCTCTCAGATGCAGCTAAACGAAATGTACAACCAGGGATGGGCCTGAGAAGCAACTACAGGCATTCCTAAATGGCTATATTTCTTTCTATGTGAAGATGTGCAATAGTGACATGCAAAAATGTTTGCCCAAAATTCATTGCCCTAATTCGATGTGCTACAATGAATGTTTATCAGCACAAGTCCTGGTGAAAGGACACATGGTGTGCTCAACTCTTGACCTCCAGGATGGTCAGGGCCCAGTTATGCTGAGCAGGATCATCACACTATTGCCTTCGCACCTTTCTTGAATGTGTAGCCCTTCATCGCCCCAGTGAGATCCAGGCACCCTAATAACTTGAGTCCAATTCAGATGTAGCTTTAGTATTTAACATATCATTTCATGATTTACATGATAGTATATGAGGCAGTGCAGAAGGAAATGTAATTTATGAATTATCACCTGATAATTGTACAACCTGAGGGACATCATGACGCCCCCTTCACCCTCAGCTTCCCCATCCAATCCATCAGTTAGTTCATGTAAGTTTACCTCCAGATTATATAGCTGACACCCACCTGATTTTCTCCCTGACCCTGGTGAAGCTTCCATCTTGTCTCACCTGTGCTCCTAACACAGGTGCTCAGCTGGTCATCCCATTTGCACCCTAACCCCCTTCCAACAACTCTACAACCACCAACCAGGCTTCATAATGTGAATCAGGTCCATTCCCTCACCACTCCACTGTGGCCACCCCACCTGAGCTCCACCATGCCTCCTCCAAACTGTTCCCCACATCACCCCACCTCCCCCACACCACAGTGTTCCAGGCTCTGAGGGAGCAACAGAGACTGAGTCCCATTCTCCCAAGTCAGCATTCTAGTGAGAGGGACTGAAGATATAGGTTGGGGGAATAATAAATGCCAAGGAGAAGGCTATGACAAGGCAAGCAGAGAGGGAGGGGCTGATTTCTGTGGAAGGTCAGGTGACCCCTCTAAGAAGAGGTCTTTTCAGCAGAGACTGACAGAGGTGAGGGAGCGAGCGCTGTGGAGGTATAAGTAGAGGAAGAGCATGTCAAGAAGAGGGAGCAGCGAGTGCAAAGTCCTGAGGAGGGAGCATGCTAAATAGGTTTGAAGAACAGCAAGGAGCCAGTGTGATGAGAGGGAAGCACATGAGGTAGGAACAGCGGCAGACTGGATGGAGGACACAACAGACGACTCTTCCCCCTCAGTGTCACCCTGCAGATGGACCTGAGATTTTCACCTGCTGCAGAGTCTCACCTGTCCGTACAGACTTTGCTTTGGCAAATCTGAGCCTGTTCACCATTTTCCTCAAGAGGCACCTCTATAGGCTCCATCCCTGATGAACAAAGGTTAGAGACAAACTTATTATCACGCAAAAATGACAACTATGTAAATAAAAGTCCATTATCATGAAATATACAAGACTTATTATGACCCCAGAAATTGGCCGAATCAAATAAGTGGGTCTTGGAAATCTCTTTATAACACAGAGATTCTCTTCAGCATGATCAGTACCACCAATAGCATGTCCATTGAGCATCATTCTCATGGGAGACCCTGCCCTGGGGCAGTCACATCCATAGTCCCTGGAACACTATAAATCTCTTTGAAAGTTTTCTCTACCTCTGGATGACTCCACATCCCGAGGTCATTATTCTCTAAGCTACCCCAAATCCTTTAGAAATAGGCAGGGTGAAGGCTCAATCAGCACAGAGTGTCAATTCTCAGTGGCCCCTAGGAGTCAGCATCGAATTGGAGTACTGCAGCAATCATCATTAGCCCCCAAAACCTGCTACTATGTCAGTGGGGTTGGGAAGCTATTCTTTTTTAAAATTGTGATATAATCATCATACATTAAAGGAGTATATAACATACGTATGTAAGTTTAAAAATAGTAATAATTAACGCTCATGTACTCACTACTCAACTAAAGTGGTATTCATTCTTTAAATAAAATTAGAGTGAAATATGTGGATGAAACTAAAAGAAACTGAGCCGATACCATTAAGGAGTGAAAGACCTTTAATAACAGCTGGAAGTGCTGAGGCCCTCTGCCACTGAGCACTACTCCTCATCCTCCATGAGTCATTAAAAGTACAAGGAAAAGGCATGAAGCCAAGACTCCTAAATAGAACTTGTGAAGGCCCCTACTTGTGGAGAAAAGAAGTAGGACCTCCTCCCGTGTGACCCACCTATGTCTCCAGCCGTCTCCAAGTTGCTGCCAGTCACACTGCCCAGCAGCATGACCCAACCTGTCCCTTAGGTAAGAACGTTATGCACATCTGCATCCCTGCTCATTCTGGTCCTGCTTCACCACGCACAGCACAGCACAGAAAACTGGTACACGCCCTCGTACTCACAAGCTTTAGATCACACCTGCTGCCCAGGCATGTGCCCATCACAATAGGCTTTACACCACCATGAAGAGAAGCAACAATTTGTGTCACAGATGTTCCACCTTATATGTGCACAGCCAGGTCCACACTCCTGTCCCTGTATGGGGAAAGCCAGAAGAGGAACTAATCCAAGAGAAGGAATGCACTGCGCTGAATGAATATAGATGCTGACATGTCAAAAAGATGTGTATGCACCCACAGGGAAGAGAAGTAAAGTGAGATCAGAACACTGGTTATGAGGAAGTAACCACAGCATGTGGAAAAGTGCCAAGGCACAAATGTACCCTTGGGCAGCCAGCAGGAGGCTTATCCTCAGCTTCTTTCTACCTTTATCCGAGACTCTGCATAAATCACTCTGCTTAAATCATATAAAATCATTTCTATTGTCCTCAGATGCTTTATAAAGGTCATTACAAGCCTCTTGTTAAGGCAATGACATCAGGGGACCCTACATGCATTGAACTCAAGGGGCCCGCCTCCAACAAAGTACATGGGGGCTGAGTTCATGCCATATGTACTGTCCCTGTGCTCAGCTCAGAGATACCGAGGAATAAAATAGCCCGATGTCTGGACTCAAGATGCCTGAAATCTTTGAGTCCCACACATAAAGCCATTATAATGTGTGCTTCATTGTTTATTAATTAGTTTGTTCTTTCATACATTGCCAAAAAATGCTTACTCCACCTGCAGTGGTGAAAGCCCCTATGAGTGAGCAAAATATCTGATGCATGTAGGGGACATCACACCACCTCAAAAAGTGCTGCTAATTTGGAGTAGAAGATAATTGAATATTTGTAGTTTTTTCTCTCACCCTTTCCTTACATTCTGAAAGTCAGGATATATATTTTTATGCTTCAGAGAATAGAAAGTGGAGTAATCCACTCAACTCTTTTTGAATGTTAATATCCTGGGTACTTGAACTTGAACAAGAAAAGTACAATAAAAGAAGGTAATATATCAATCTCACTAATAAAATTAGGCATAAAAATACTAAGCAAAATATCAACAAACTAAATGTATCAAAAAACTTATTGCCAACTAGTGTTTTCTCTCCCCCAAGAGGGCAAGGATAGTTCAGCACTAGACAATCTGCTAATGTAAGATGTCGCACTAATAGAATACAGGAGAAAAATATGACAATAGATGTAGGAAAAGCATTCAGTAAGAATTGACTATTAATCATGATAAAACTTTTAGCTAAATAAGGAAAAAACTGATTTAGCCTGGTAAATCAAATCAAATACCTACGGTAAACACCATTCTTATTTTTGAGACTTTAGAAGCATTCTATTGAAATCAGTAACAAAAAAGGATATCTTCCATCCTGCTCCAACATTATATGAGACGGCATAGTCAATGAAGTAAGATAAGAAAAGAAAAAAGAGAAATAAAAATTAGAAAGGAAGATATGAAATTGTCATTATTAGAAGATGATATGCCTATTTACATAGAACAAACAAGAAAGTCTTCAGACCAACTAATAAAACTAACAGGAATTTAGAAAAAGTACTGGATAAAACATTGATATATAAAAGTCAATAATGTCTCTATATGGTATTAATAACCAATTAAGACATTTAATAGAAAAAATAGTATTCAAAATACTCCAATTACATAAGCAAAAAATGTGCAAAATTTTTCTGGAAAATACTATTAAATTTTTGAAGTAATGAAAGAAGTTTTAAATAGAGATACTATTTACATATAAAAGACTCAAAATTATATGACATAAATTCTCCTGAAATGAATATATGACATTACAATCAAATTATGATTATAAATATGTAATTGCAAAATATGTGATTTTGCAATCAAAATCCCAAAAGGACACACCAATGAAAATACAGAGATTGTCAAAATGGATTTTAAAAAGCATGAGCCAACTGCAGCTGGATACAAGCCACTCACTTCTAATATAATGATATAGGCAGATTAAAAGTAAAATGGAGCCATCAAGAAAACAAAATGACAACCTACAGAATGGAAGAAAAAAATTTTAAATTATAGATCTGAAAAAGGACTTATATCCAGAACATATATAAAGAACTCTTAACTCAATAATTCAAAAATAAATAAACAAAGAATTTGAATGGATATTTTTCTAAAGAAGATATACAATGACTAATAAACACTTGAAAAGTGGCCAACATTATTATCTAGGGAAATGCAAATCAAAGCCACATGTGGTACCACCACACGCCCACTAGGATGGCTATTAAAAACAATAACAGAAAATAAAAAATGTTGAGCAGGGTGTGGAGAAACTTGCACCTTCATACATTGCTGGTGGGAGTGTAAAATGGTGATGCAGCCACTGTGAAAATGTTAACAATAGAGTTACCATAGGACCTGGCATTTCTACTCCTAGATATATACCCAAGATATTTGTACATAAATATGCACAGCAGCATTATTCATAATAGCAAAAAAGTGGAAACAATCTAAATATCCACCAACTGATAAATGGATAAAAAATATGGTATATCCATTCAATGGAATATTATTCAATAATATGAATGAACTTTGAAAATATTATGCTAAGAGAAAGAAGCCAGTTACATATTATGTGATTCTATGTATATGAAACATCCAGAACAGGTAAATTCATAAAAAAAGAAAGTAGATTAGTGGTTGCCAGGGCATGGGAATGAGGTTGGAAATGGGAAGTGACTTTCAATGGGCACGGTATTTCTCCTTTAGGGTGAGGAAAATGTTCTAAGATTGATTGTGGTGATGGTTGTACAACCCTGTGAATATACAAAAAAAACACTGAACTGTATACTTTAAAAAGATACGTTTTATGGTATGTTCAATAAATATCAATAAAGCTAGAAGAAATAAATAAAAAGGTAGAAAATGATATAGCCTGCAAATATTAATCAAAAGAGAGTTGAATGGCTATATTAATAGTAGACAAAGAATTTCATACTTCGCAGAAAAGAAACAAAGAAAATTACCAGGTATAAAGAAGAACATTACTTAAAGACAACAATTCACCAACAAGACACAATAATACTAAACAAAGCAAAAACTAACAGCACTAAAAGGGAAAATAGACCAACTCGCAATTATAGTTGGGGACTTCAACACTCCTTTCTCAGTAATCAACAGAACTAGTAGTCAGAAAAATCAGCAAGTATATAGAAAAACAGCAAAATGGTACAGTCATTCTAGAAAATGGTTTGGTAGTTTCTTTTAAAGATAAATATACACTTATCATACAAGCCAGCAATCCACTTCTACATATTTATTCTAGAAAAATGAAAACTTCTGTTCACCTAAAAACCTGCACATGAATGCTTATAGCAGCTCTATTCATAATTGCTCAAAAATAGAAACAACCCAAATATTCATCAACAGATAAATGGATAAACACATTTCAAGTGTTCAGCAGCCACAAGTGACTAATGACTGGACACTATAGACACACTATACACACTGAACATTTCCACCATTACAGAAAGTTGCATTGGACAGAGCTGGTCTATACTTTTATACACGTTGGATAGTTTATACTAAAACTCAGCATGGAAGACTTAAAGCTTCCTGTACATATTACAATGAGTGAAGGAAATAAAAGAAATATAAGTGAAAAGGACATTATATGATTCAAAAGTTACACCTGTTCACTTTCAGATTGCACCATCAGACCTTTACCTCTCCCCAGAAAAGTCCCACAGCACAAGAGGAGCAAACTTTTTGTTGTCTTTTCTAGACACCATTTCACATACTTCGGGATTATTTTAATATTTGGAAAAGCCATTATTTTGCTTTCATATGAGTATAAGAGCCACTCTTGACACCTGCATTTTGAAAATGAAGCCAGTTTTCACACCTTTGGCTTTGATGACCATGATCCTTTGCTGCAGGTCAATGAAGGGCTGGATCAGGCAGAGCCGGGGCTCCTGCTTCTGACTCAGGCAAATGCCGTTGTGATTCACAACCATCCAGCTACGATCATATAGCAGCCCTTGCTTTTCTAGAGGCCATCTGGTCACCTAAACAAAAATGTAAGCACATTTTAGGCCAGGGCTCCTCAGAAATGATCTTCATGTTATTGCACAAACACAGATGAACTTGAGGAATCCAGCACATACTCTTGAAGGAAGAAAGGGAGGAAGAAAAGAAAGTAAAACAAAGAGCACAATGCAAAAGAGACAGTGCGGGATCTAGATACCTTCCACTCACCCCACAGATTCACTTTCAGCCCTTCTCCACTGCAACCTGTTTTTTAAGTAGGTAGGTGCCTGTACATGGTACAACATTCAGAGAGAACAAGGTGTACATGAAAAGTAAGTCTCCACTCCACTCCTGTCTCAGCTCCCCTCCCCAGTCTCCATCACTCCTGCTTTCTGTATTTCTGCCACAGTGATGAATGCCTGAAAAGGCAGATCCTGATACTGTAGACATATTCCTTGCACAATTTTTGGCTACCCTGGAATGGTCACTGAGTTGATCCACTTTAAGTGTTCAGGTTTTCCTGAATTCTTCATATTTCTACAAAATTAAAATATAAATTACACCCAGTGCCCAGATCTTGCATTCTAATACCATTCTCCAATAAAAAGAATCAGGATTCCTTGGAGAAATAGTTGATTCCAGGGATGGGCCAGGAATACACAAGATGAGCCAGGAGCACCTTGCAGTGCTAGAAAATTAAGGAAGTGCTCAAAAATCACAACGTCAAAGGGATGCAGGAGTCATCTGAAAGTGTGTCCAATTGCCAAAATTGGAACAATTATAATAATAATAATAATAATAATAATGTAGTATCTGATTATTACCCAAAGTAAAAAACAAATATCCATGAGTCTATAATAATATGAATGAATGAAAGAATGAATGAATGAACGAATGAATGAATGAATGAATGAATGAATAGGGGCAGAAAGTCTCATAGAGACTCCTTCATCTAGAAGAATCCCAAAATAATCGAGTAAATGCTTCCCCCTCAAGAAGGTGGAGCATAACTCCCTACCACTTAAGTGTGGGCTACACTTAGTGACTTACTTCCAAAGAGTACAGTATGGAAATGGGGTGGAAGGGAAACTTTACAGTGAAGAAAGCTGGCAAACACTATCTCTATCGGGTGATCCAGGTTAACATCAATAGTGATAAGTCATGTTAATAGTACATACCCTGATACAATACGATGAGAATAGCACTTTATCTCTGCGGTCCTTCTCCCCCAAAACCCATATCCCAGTCTAATCATGAGAAAGACCTCAGACAAACTCAAATTGAGGAACATTCCAAAAATACCTGAACTAGTACTCCTCAAAACTGTCAGGATCTTTAGATGGCCAACACTTTGTGGTGGATCTTTAGGCATCTCCTCCTAGACCCACACATGGGATGCCCCTGCCTTGAGTGGGATGAGGACCATGGTACCCACAATTTTCCTCTCCTGGTCTGAGAGAGACAGCTAAGAAAAGCACTAACAGATCCCTCTGATGTCTGTAAGTTAGCCAAAGATCATCAGCCTCAGAACCATGAGTCAGGCCCTAGTCCTGGCCAATTCAGGCTGGCATCCCTGTCTCAACTCCTGTTCATGGGTTGCACTGTGGTCTAGATGTCAGATGATGCCAGAGACAATGGCCTTTATTCATTCCTCGTCTTACTTAGCAGTATTTAGACAACTGACCCTTCTACCTACTTCCTGGCACCTGGATTCCTCTCCCCTCCCAGGGCTCCACTTCACAGGTTGCTCCCCTCAGTCTCCTCTGCCTACTCCTCCTCCACTCAATCTGCAAATGTTAGGGTACCTTGGGGCTCCGTTGAGGCTCCTTCTTCTCTCTACACTCTCTCCCTGTGTCATAGCACCTGTTCCCCAGACAAGTCACTGCAAATGCTGATGACTCCCCATTTCTAGCTCCAGCCCAGCCCTCCACTCTGGGTGTCAGACACACATCCACAGACACATCGGACTTCCCCTGGGCAACACCGACCTCTCAATTTCCCCTCAGACCTGCCCCTCCTCCAGCTTTTCCCATTTCATCAGCAACGTCACTGTGGACTCAGCGGCTCCAGTCTTCCTATGCTCCTTCTTCGCCTTCACACCCCACATCCAACCCACCAACTCTACTACCAAAACGTTTCTTGATGTTTTTTATTTCCCTCCACCTCGGCTGCCATCACTTCGGTTGAGGGGTCAGCAAAGTGTGGCCCATGGACCACATCCCACCCACTGCCTGTTTTTATAAAGTTTTGCTAAACCACGAGTGTCCTCATTCATTAAAGTATATAGTCTGCAAGTGCTTTCATCCTACCACGGCAGAGCTGAGCAGTCATAATAGAGACTGCATGGCCTGCAAAGTCTAGAATATTCACTGTGGTCCTTGCTGATATATAATAGTGGCTTTAATATAATCTGCTATCATCTCTTGCCTGGATTACTGTGGTGTCTCCTAACTGATCTCCCTGCTTCCTCTCTCACCCTCCCACAAGCCAGTGTCCACTCAGCAGCTGGTAAGATCTTCCTAAAACAAAAATGAAATCAAGTAACTCCCTTGCTAAAATCCTTTCAATAGCTTCCTATTCCACTTAGAAGAAAATCACTAAACTCTGTCACCCTCTGTAATCTAGTCCCTGTTTACCCCATCTCTCAACACCCGGCCTTCTCACCACTCCCCACTATTCGGCCACATGGCTTTCTTTCAGTTCTTCCAATGGACCAGGCGCTTTCTTACCTCAGGGTCTGCTCACATGCTGTTCCCTCTTCCTGAAATGCTCTTCCACCTCCTTCTGGATGCCTGACTCCCAGGTCTCAGATTAAATGTTCCCTCCTCAAGAAGACTTTCCTAATATCTCCAAATATAATCTAAGTATCCATTGCAATGGACTAAATGTTTGTGTCTCCCAAACTTCATATGTTAAAATCCTAGCCCCGAGTATCAAGTTCTTAGGAGGTGGGGCCTTTGGGAGGTTACTAGGTCATAAGGGTGGAGCCTTCATGAATGAGATTAATGCTCTTATTAAAAAGACCTCAGGGAGCTCCCTCACCCCTACTTCCATGTGAGGACGCAGCAAGAAGACAGCCATCTATGAACCAGAAAGTGAGCCCTCACCAGACACTGAATCTGCCAGTGCCTTACTCTTGGACTTCCAGCCTCCAGAACTGTAAGAAATCATTTCTGTTGTTTATATGCCACCCAGTTGATAGTGCTTTAGTACAGCAACCCAAATGGACTAAGATACCCGCCCACCAGAATTCTCTCTTGCATACCCTAGCTTTTGCCTTCTTGGCCCTTGATCAGCAGTGTGATCCCATTTACTTGGGTGGTGTCTGGTCTTGTTTGTTTTCCTTCTGAGACA